TATATATATATATATATATATCACCTTTTATTCCTTCCAGAAATCAAGGGATTCAATCCCAACTTGTAACTGATATATCATGAGAATAAGCAGCACACGAGAATTCTTGAAGAATATTCTATTCTTCAATATCAATATATGTCAATGTAATTCTTAATTAATTTTTCGCATCATAATTGAACCGAGATAGTCAACCGGTCATGCCAATTAATATTTGTTTTAGTAAACCTCTAGTTTACTTGTGGCATATGATTCCAGCATCATGCTTATATTTNACAAATAGAAAGAAGATCGGGTAACCTTTCATATTTACCCGGTATGATTATAGAAATATGAAGATATTCAATCTTCCTTTCATTTATAGTCTCAATATGCCAATCACTTTGACTTATATATTTGAAACTCAAAAAGTTTCTTTTGAGACTTTACAATATCAATGTCATGAATAAGTTTATTCATCCGGGTAGTAACAAATTAGTTTTTCCAAAGTTCTTAACAACTTTCGTACTACAAGATCTTTTATCGTACCATTCATATGGTAAATGTCTCCTTCACGGATAAAATTATATCATAATAAATTGTCATGGTCAAAATCATCATAAATAATATCATTTTTTGCTTTAACTTTGCCTTTAATAACTTTTATAAGGCATGACAAAATAATATTTGGCGTATCACATGTACGCGACCAATGACATATTCATGTAACCATACAATAATATTTATTCTCTTTATTTTACTCAAACCTCCCTTAGAGGTGAGTTGTGTGGTATTTATATAATCATGAATTGTATGTCTTTATTCATTGCTTTTATCACATATTGCCACATTCAACTTTAGGAATGGGTTTACATTCTCAATGCTTATCACAAGTTACATTCTCTTCAAGGAATGGATCATAATCAGCGATGTGCTTTATTATTTTCATACCAATTTGATGGTAAACATTGCCTTCACATTTTGAAGGACTATTTTGAGAACCCTTATTGTTCTCCTTTTATAATCATAGTGATGATTATTATTATTTTGATATTTGGAACGCCCACGTTCATTGTTCAACCACTTGTCTTCATTGAAACTTATTATGCATTGTTATCACATTCACTTCAAGAATGGAGCAAATCAAGTGGGACAATTTTCATGCCTTTTCATGAAAAATATATTATTTTTCTTTAGTCATCATTATATCATCAATATGGTACATTGGGACTCAAACCCAATGTCTTACCAATATAAAGGCATGTTAGGCCATAATAAATTGGGACTCAAACCCAACTCTTATCATTATGGAGCATCAGGACTTGATCCCGATGTCTTACCCTCAATCAATGGCATAATAGGCTAAACAATATTGAGATTCATTCTCAAGCCTTAATTTCAATCACATGCCAAGAAAGTTATACACAACTAATTTGCAACTTAGCAAATCAAATTTGCTTTCTTAAATAAGTGTACAAATCTCAAATCAGCGTAAAGCTTTATTAATTATTTGTAGCATCTATATGAAATACAACCGTTTGTAGTCAGAATATTTCTTCTAAATTCTATTAGAGTTTAAAAGGATTATAAAATCATTGTCATAATATTTATTGAGTCTCTCTCAAAAATATTGTTGTTTTCGGGGTATACCCTACCTATTGGATTTGATTTAACGCCATGACTTTCCTTCACTCAATTCAACCAAGCAATTAGTGAATAAATTTATCAAAAGTACACCATATAGGTACTAACACATATATAGTACTAATACATAAATTCAGCATTTATATTACCTGAAAAGTGACATTATAGGTAACAACTTACCAGTTGTAGCTTGTGCATCATTCATATAAAATACTCAAAAATGGTAAGTCAGTAGAAAGCATCAAGTAGGTCATGGATACTCAAAAATACCTCTTCTAGTAGTCATACTAATCATTGTTTGCTTTCAAATGATACGACCATAAATTATGAAGTATACTTTCTCAATAGCTGGTTTGTTTTCCAAATATCAAAGAAGTAATTAATCAACCTAGATAAAGATGTGAAGTATTTCTTGTTTTCTTCAAGATGATTTATGCTTTTAATCAGTATGACCAATTTTATTTTATTTTTTATTCCTTTTTTTTGGTACTATATGCAAGTGTAAAAATCCAAAAGGAAAAAAAAATATTCATCCAAGTAAAAGAAAATGTTTAAAGCGGCAGGACAGATTGAAGATAGTTAACACATAAATATGCATAAGACAATTTATATAAAATATCCTTGGATACCATGCCATGCATCATATCAACAATTAACTGCTACTATGATTTTCACATATAGAACTTCGAAAATTTTATTCCATTCATGTGATATAAAAGATGTAATATTAATATGTGCTTATGCAATACAAGTGTAGTACGAAGTTGTGTGCATATGAGATTTTAAAGGAATTACAAGTATAAGATAATCATACCTTCTTGCATTTCATTACTTACCATATGTAGTTTCTCTTTACATTTAATCATGTGATGATATGTATGGCTTCTAATTGTAATCTTTCCGGATGTAGGAAAAATTTTGTAGATATATATATACAATTGGTTAGAGACTCGTGCTGATAACGTGTTATGAAATATAACTCAAAGTAGCAATATGAAACAAGGAAATAAAAGCAATTTAGTAAAACATGAACAAGAAATGGAGATAGAGAGAAGGAAGAGATTTTTTTCTTTAATTGTGTGTATTTTCCTATCTATTACAAGGCATTTATATAGGCATGCAAAGTGAAGAAAATATGTCATAAAATATGTCATTGAATATGCCATTAAGCATTTGACATGAAGATCATGAAGGAAGAATAAACATCCACCATATGATATTTATCATAACAGATTCCTTGATTTGTTAAGGTTTACATAATGTAACTTCTTTTGACTTGGCTTCTACTTATAGCTAGTAGAGTTTCAGTACCTTAAAAGTGCTATAATTACCTTATATTATCGTACTGTGTAATAAACAAGTTCAAGTATTTTGGTAAAACATTTTTACAAAGGGAAAAGGGTCATTTTTGCCACTAAGCAGTAAACACTAGTATAATATTACTACTAAACTATACCCTCCATTAGAAGTTGATTAAACAATTTTCTGTAATGTAGGACAACAACAATAACAACAACGTGGGTCTGGAGAAGATAGTATGTACGCGGACCTTATCCCTGTCTAGAGGTTATTTTCGATAGATCCTCGGCATAGGAAAAATTTATATATACAGTCAAACCTCTCTATAACAGTCTCGTTTGTTGTATACGGTAAAAATCAGTGGTCTGATTTTATGATCATTAAGGCGCCTCGTAAAGATCGCCCCCAGAAGGCTCGAAGCTCAGCTCGGGGTTTCGACCCCGAGGGTTCTCAATGATCGACCTCGGGGCAGTGCAATCCAGTGGCTACAGTGGATCGATGTGAATTTCCCAAGGCACGTGACTAGAGCTGACTAAGTCTATTAGGCTAGTTCAAACCCGTATCATGGCATTAAATGTCTGTACCAGCCCTATATCTTTGTAATAAATGCATTTGTACTATAATGAGATTCCCCCTCATATATAAAGGAGATCCTTGTCATTTTGTAAGACACAAGATACAACACACTACATTCAATACAAGAACATTCTCTACTCTCTAACTCAAACATACTCTCTATTTGATCCTATTGCTTACATTTATTGTCTTACTTATATTTATTACATTTCATTAATTGTTCTTAATTTATTGCTCATTATTGGCCATAAAGAGCCGCCATCAAATTTATCATAACTGTTAATCCTCCATCAACTGCCCTTAGTCGGGCATTCGACTCGATCTCGAGGCACCGTATGCGCAAGCTCGACGCCCCGATTTTCAGCCATTCGGTTTGATTATTACACTATCTACAAGCTCTTATTTTATCTTCTAATCTTTCGCTTAACATCTATTGCCTAACAACTAGCATAAAAACAGATCACGTATTTTTAGAACCACAAAATCAAATTTAATTGTTATTACCATTTTCAAGGTAAATATTTGTTCCGAATATTTTTGGATGTTATAGCGAAGTGCTGTTATATATAACATATATTATAACATAACATGAAAAATGGTTCCGGAAAAATTTAACTTTTATACTGAAGTGTTATTATATAGGGGTGGTGTTATAGAGTTCCGACTGTATTCCATTTTTCAAACAGACAAGGACTCATTTTTAACTTGGACAGAAATTAGCAAGCCTCAGTAATTAGGAGCATCAGTTATCAATTGTAGTATTTGGTTTGACCAATTCTTGTAAATGTGAAATAAATACTACTCCAGTTCAGTCCAGTTGACTTGGCCCATTTCTCTCTCTGTTTCCTCGTCTAAATCTGACAGAGTGACAGTACATCATACATCTTAAATTGGAGCTTTCTTCTGTTTTCCTGATTGACCAGAATCTTTCTGTAGTTTTCTAGTTTGGTTTTTTAACTTTTTTGTCCAAGATCGGAACTTTTCATGTGGGAATAAACTTCCTCAGGTAAGTCACACAGTACACCATACATCTCAATCTTGATTACTTAAGGATCTGAACTTTTTTGGCTTTCTTCAAAATTTGCAATTTGATTTCACTTTGAGCTCAGCCTATAGTGGTCAAGTGTGATTAACTAGCTAATTTTCCTGTGATATTTAGTTTACTAGAAGATGGGTTCAATCCAAAAAACAGTTCACTATTGCTCAGTATCTAAAGGGGGTCAACTTCTATATGCATATAATAATGGTGAAGATCTTGAGATTGAGAACTTGGCTGCATTGTGCTTAGAAAGAATTCCTCCTTTTCATAAATGGTATTTTCAGACCATGGCTAAAAAGATTTTTGGGTTTTTGATTGAAGTTGATGAGCATGTTTATTTTGCTATTGTAGATGAGGGTCTTGGTAATGTTGAAGTTTTGAGGTTTCTTGAACAATTAAGGGATGAATTTAGAAAATTGTCTAAAAAGGGTTCTTGTTGGACTATGTCTAATCTAAACTCACTTTGTTTACAAGAAAAATCAATTCCTGTAATTTTACCATATCGAAATGTCAATGGGCAAATTGAGGGTTGTGCTTTAACAAAAGTGTTGTTATTGGGCAAGCCTAGTAGACAAGAAAAGAAGAAAAAGAAGGATCATGTAATTGCTATGAGAGATAATGAGGTGGAGGAGGAGCAAAAATCTACGGAACAAGTTATGGTTGATTCAGCAGTTCCTCCAATTTTGTCGCAGAAAGAGTTGAGCTTGGTAAGGACCATATCAAGATCTCAAAACTTTCAAAGGAGGTGGTGCCGCCATGTACGCATTGTCCTTGCAATTGATGCTATGGTATGTCTTGTGTTGTTTGTTATCTGGTTAGTTATTTGTGAAGGTACAAAGTGCCTTCACTAAAGTTGTGCTGCTGATGGAAACCTTATCTTCTCTAAATGGTTGGAGCCAAGGAGGTTATTGCTCGAACTTTTTGAAGTATTTCAGCACAGTGTTGCATCACGATAAGCATTTCTATGAAAAGTGGATAATAAAATTAACAGATCAAGCAGTTTTTTTTACACTTACATCAACTACAATTTGCCTCTCTACCGTCCCAGGGTAGGAGTAAGGTCAGCGTATATACCACCCTCCCCAGGCCCCACTTGTGGGATTCCACTGGGTTTGTTGTTGTTGTTGTTGTTGTTGTTATATCAACTACAAGTTTCATCAAAGTATAGTTAAAAACTCATGTTGTACAGGAATCACTTTGGATGGACAGAGTTGGTCTATTATTGTCCAAGTTAGTTGCAGCTTCGTCGTTACTCCTTGTGACTGCCATATGAGTGCTTCATTTAAATATGTTAAGTGTTCTTTCTTTTCTATTTGGATTGAGACGGGGCTATTTGGAGCAATATGGAGCTAACCCCGACTTGTTTGAGGTTGAGGCATAGTAGTAGTAGTTGCAGTTTTTTCTTTTCCATTGCATCATGTGTATATACAAATGCCTGGTTACACGCCTAAAGATATTTTTGCTGCTTTCTTCGATTAAAAGTTTGCTCTGAAATTAAATAATACAACATTTCTTCTTCTGCTATGTGAACTATTTCTATGTTTCTTCCACATCGATAATAAGTCGGCTTATCCTATAGCATTTCTTATGATCTCTTGAGCATAATAAATAAATGTGTTTGAGGCAGAGACAATTGTCATTCTAATTCTACTGTGAGTGTTTTCCTTTATATCTTTTATTCTTGAAGGGTAATTGCCAAATTTTGGGTCGGGTGAGGGACTGTAGGCCGTATCCCTTAGCTTTGCTGGAGAAGTGGTTTGAGGAACATCTTAAGAATTGAATGGTACTCCTCCATCCAGAATGTATGACATACTTTAACTCAATCTGCTTCAAGATTTAATTCATTTGAACAATTCAAATATACACAACCAACGGAGATATCATTCCACCTTTCCCCAGTCTTTCTAATTTAACTATTGCTAGTACTTTACATTTTCTTTTACTCTTATACAAGTATTGTCTCGTTGCCCTATCAGCCACGGTACTTATAGTGGGAAAGAGGAGTAAAGTTACTGAAAGTCATGTGTACAAGAGCCAATGACTACAATAAGATGGCAGACTAATACCAATGAGATTGATGTAATCTTGTTTTCGTTTCATCTATCTTCTATGAACATGGGCCGCACAGATAGGAGCCAATCAAATGGAGTTAGTAAATGAATCTTGTTTGTTGATTAAGGGAGGGGAAAGAACAACAGGAGTTTTGTATTTGAAGTAGCCCATATCTTCGACATTTCATTATAGTTAACTGATCAAGCTGCATATCCTTAATGCTCAGAAGTTATTCATCGAAGCAGAATGTTGCATTGAAGACCATACCATGAAGAAATGGATTTATCAAGCTTCAATTAGTTGTTTTAGACTTTAGTGAACAAAGATGAAAGTATAGGGCAGCTTCATTGTAGTATCTGGTATTCTTTTGTTCATTGGTTCGACTGTTTATATTGTGTTGAAAAGGAACTTCCGAAAGAATTTAACCGCCCAACCCTCTTCAGAATATATGTGAGTGTATATTTACTGTGGAAGTAACTTCTTGGATTTGATTTTACTTGTTCCTTTGGAAAAACTTGCACCTATATTTTGTTGGTAGAAAAGGCATAAATGCAGACATGAATACTCATCTTTTGAAATTACTATATCAGCAGAGACCCTTGTGGTCCGACCTTTCCCCGGACCCCGCGCATAGTGGGAGCTTAGTGCACAGAGAGTCCAATAGACTAAGGTAATCTTTCTTGTCCCGTCCCTCCCGGGAATATCTGGGGCATTAATCTTGGATGAGATTTTTCATCAAGTTCCTTGAGATTCCGTCACAGTTAGATGCACATATCTAAGACTTGGATCAGTCTATCGGATACAGTCTCTCTGCCTGCACTGCGACGCTGCGTACACACTATTCTCCCCAAACCCCACTTGTGGGATTATACTGGGTGTATTGTTGTTGTTGTTGTTGAAGTTGCTGGATCCTATTTCAATAGTTTCTGATTTCCCATTCAGTTTTTTTGCCTCTTATTTCTGTTAGACTGTTTCAACACAGTTTTGATATCAAACTGAAATATCCCTTATTAAGATATAGAAGAATCAAGCTGTGAGTTTTGCTTGAATCATTTTACTCCTTTGATTATCCTGAGAGGTAGATATCCTTCTCTGCTCCATTTTCTGACTATTGTTTTGGGTAATTTCTTTCAGCATATTATTTATTTTTAGTGTCGTACAGGAATTTCTGAAAGAAATATGATTTGGTCGACTATAAAATAAAAATTAACGCTTATAGGGTTATTTCTCTCCTCTAAAACATCTTTGTGAGCACGTGATTCTTGCTTCACGAAAACTACTCCAAAAAAAATCGAAAAATAAAACAAATTGCCTTTGGGTACAATTTTGAGAATTTTGGTGTGACATTTTGGGATAATTATTTGTGTTTTTGTCTGTGAACGTATAAATCCCGTTTCGATTGTCCTTTAATTGGAAAAACTCCCTCTGCGCCTTTGCGGTGGCGCGGGTGAAAAAGGAGGTGTGACAATCTTCATCTGCTTGAATGAAATATTGAAAAAGGTTAGATATTGTCAATTTTCTACTTCAATAATATAGCAGGTTGAATGTGACTTCGCTTGGAATATGGATGAGACAAGTAGAAATGACACCAGGTAGCCATTCTAAAGAGCTGTTATTTAGGAATTAGCCAGTGCGTCCTGAATTACAGTTGTTTAGGTCAATTTTTCCTGACAAAAATGTCCGGAGTTGTCCTCAAGTTATGATTTTTAGTTAAAAATTTCAGGACAAAATATGTTCTAGCTAATCTCTAAATAGCATCCCTGAGAATAGCTATTTGTGCATTTGCCCCATGAGACAATCAATGAAACAAGCGACACTTGGAATATTTACACAAATAGCCGACCATTTTATTACTTACTTTTTTTAGCCATATACATAGATTACACATTGATTATACACATATAATACATATATTATACATTCTCCGGCTATTTTTAGTTTAAGTGGTTGGATGAGTGACTATTTGAGTTAATTCTTGGTTGGGGGAGAGTTAGACCAAATCCCAAATGACACAATTTTGTACACTATTTTGTCAATAATGAATTTTATCACTTGCTTTACATGAAAAAATATATACGCTTTTAAGTTTAACACTCTTTTCGCTCCTTTTTATCGTTTTATTTAGTCAAAAATATTGTCTCAAAATATTTTTCATTCATGAAAATCAAGAAGTCATCAGTTTTCTTCCAATTCCACCCTTCCTATTCTAAGAAGGTAATATACTCTTTAACTATTCATTAAAGAAAATAAAAGAATAATTTAATCAAATACCAATCTTAAAATTATGCTATCATTGATTTTTTTTTAATGGATAACCTATAGTAGTATATAAAAAAGAACCAAAGAGAGTCACTTTACTGAAAAATCAAAGAATAATAGCCTTCTTCCTGAGAGTTCAAAAAGTTGCTAAAACTGAAATGTCAACTGTTATGTCACGTGTTCTGTCCTCTATTATATAAGGGAAGAACAACAGAATGACTGCAAAAGAAGATAAAATGTTTGAGGCCATCCCCAACCTTGCCCCATCCCCCGTAACGTGGAAATATTCGGGGGAATTTAGCTCCAACTCTCTCCCATTTTTGTCCAAAACGGGGGATGAATAGTATTCCCTCAAATATGGGGTACATTATTCATCTCCCTCATTACTATTCATCACTTTTTTATTATTATTTTATTATTTAATCTTTTAATTTATCTCTTTATATATACCTAATTATGTTTATGTAATGTATTTATAATATTAATATTATATCTTAACTTTGGTGTATAATTTTGATAAATTAATTTTCGTGCATTTATTATTTTTATATAGAAATGGTAGTAGATGAAAATCAACGATTTCAAGAATTTTTATTTCGACATAGAAGAATTAAGGACAAAGATGCTCATTTTGCACTTCGTAATACATTAATAGATCATTTATGGGAGAATACTAGAGGTTGAAGTTGAATATTTATCTAGTATTTCGAATGAATTTTATCGTTATGTAATATGTATTTAATTAATCTTGTATCACAATGATTTCACTTTTATTTGAATTATTAGTTAATCTATAATAATTGCTTACAAATTATATTATTTAAAATTTTATGGAATTGTTTTAATTATGAAAATTACAAATTAATAAAAATAAAAGATGGAATTTGTTTAATGAAAATTAAAAAATAAAATTAAAATGAAAGATAATAATATAATATAGAAGAGAGAGAAGAATATAAAAAAGTTTGGGGCAATGGTTCGAGTAAGTTGTCCCCAAAATGAGGAAATTCCCATTTTGGGAACCAAAAATGAGGTAAAGGTCGGAGATGCCCTGAATAAAACAAAAATTAAACTATAAACTTAAGCAAAAATTAACCACTGTGATTTGGAAACCAAAGGTAATTTAATCAGTAATTAATCGAATGTTGGAGAAACACAAACAGACTTGTGCGTGCTGGCAGTAAAACATTTTATTATCTGTACGTAAATACGTTAAAAGATTCATGATCAACAAATGGTACTAAAATATTGAAACTCAACTTTAATTTATATATGTAGTATAAGTTCTAACATCATCGGGATAACGCTTGGAGTCGTGCAAAAAATCGGGTGAAATTTAAAAATAGTCAGATTTACAACTGGTCATTCAAAAATAGTCAAGTTTCAAAAGTAATCGAAGTTTAGCCACTTTTCATGTAAAGATAAATTTGAGCGAAAATACTGGTCAAAACCCGGAAAATACGCCAGTATATTATGTTGGAGTTCCAAGATAAGTATGCTGGAACTCTAGTATAATTATGTTGGAGTTCCAGCATAAGTATACTTGAACTCCAACATATTATACTGGAGTTCCAAGATAAGTATGCTGGAACTCTAGTATAATTATGTTGGAGTTCCAGCATAAGTATACTTGAACTCCAACATATTATACTGGAGTTCCAAGATAAGTATGCTGGAACTCTAGCATAATATGATGAAGTTCCAGCATAACTACACTAGAACTCCAGCATAATATACTAGAGTTCCAGCAAGTATACCGGTCTAGCATAATATACTGGAGTTTGGATTACCGGTGCTCCAGTCTCCAGTATATTATACTGGAGCCAGCAAAGTATTTCGATCCAGTATAATATGCTGGAGTTTATACACAGGTGCACCGAACTCCAGTATATTATGTTGGACCGGTCTCTGCTGCTGCAAAATAGTGGCTATTTTCTATTGACTTGGTAAATGCTGACTATTTTTGAATGACCACTCCGGAAACTGGCTATACCGTACTATTTTTACCAAAAAATCATCTTGATTTTCCAGCTCCGTTAAAACTTGACTTGAATAAAGTGTGTATTTAGTATGACAGAAATTCTTTTTCTTGAAAATATTTTTTATGAGAAAATTATTTTCTTTTCTTAAAAATATTTTCTTTGAAAAAATGTGGAAAATATGACTTTACATACCTGACTTTTGATTTCAAACGTTTAGTCATTATAACTAATATTTAGAGTTCACAAGTTTTGTCAAAACACTTTGCTACTATTGTTATCGGAGAATATTCCTTGTACTTGCCAACAGTGGCAAATCTAGCCCTTTGGTGAGGGAATTATTTGAACCTAGTATTTCTAACGCCGAATATAATATATGCGAAAATTCACTAAATTATAATAGATATTAGACTTGAATTCATAATTTTAAAAATATTTTAATTTTTATATTATGAACCTTAAATATTGAACCCATCAAGTTAAAATCATAGATTCGCTTTTGCTCACCAACCAAACACCGAAAAATATTTTATAGGTGAATAATGTCCATTCATGGAAAATGTTTGACCAAAAGATATTGGAACCTTTTTTATTAAATCAATTAAGGAAATTGGGGAGGTAAATCTTAGCCAAACATAATAAATTCCAGATCTACTGACAAACCGGAAAATGATACATGAAATGAAGTAGAAGTGATAAATTGTCGATGCCTTTCATTTCTTCTTTTTCCAATCGGTGAAAATGACGGTTGTACATATTCAATGAAAGATCGGAAATTGTTTTACTTTTCGTTCACTAAGGAAATTACAAAGGAGAGAAAGAGAAAAAGGCCCTCTTTCTGGAAAGGTCGCATTCCTATATATAGTCATGGAGTCATTGCCATGTATTTGGGCTATAGCCCCCCTCATTTTGCGTCCGCTTTCGCCGTTCTGTAATACGTGGTCTGGCGTAAATAATGTCGTCTATCCTTATCCCATTGTTTGGACGTGGTCCCAATTGGGTCGACCACAGCGGTCAGATTTTGACCAATACAGTTAGTCCCTCCGTTTGTCGAGGTCATTCCTTGTTGGGCCGGGTAGGCGGATGATGATTTTCGTTTGACTAGGAGAAATCTGACTGTCTACCCCTTGGGTATGATTTTCAGAATCAAGTAGTTGTTCGTGGTTGCCGTCATTATGACACACGTTCCCGAAAATTTGAAACGTTTCG